CTATTTGTTCATAATGTATCTTTTTTGCAGGGTATGGAGAAGGATACACAGAGATTATAATGAAAGGAAATCTGCAGGATCTAAAGTTTCTTGCCTTTTATATCAAGTAAGTGTATATTTCTTCACTTTTGATACATCTTACATTGCTGACACAATTCATTGGCCATTGTTGGATTTATGGATTTTTTTAAAATGTATTTGCAGGGATGATTGTGTTGTTGCAGTGTCAAGTATGAACTTCGACCCTGTAGTATCACAGATAGCAGAAATTATGCTCTCTGGTAGGCGATTTACTAAGAAAGAGGTGCTGTAAGTATCACAATATGCATTTCACTTCTTGCACTTTTTGGGGATGTTTAGTACATGCTTATATCAGGAGAAATAGAGTGTTTTCCAGTCCAGGATCCCCTGACTCTGTACATCAGCTTAATTTCAAACTATTTAAGAGTGGTTTGATATAAATGGTGTTATCGTGTAGAGGGCCAGTTTTATGAAATAGACCACCTCCATCTTGATTGCATTGATAATATGAAATTTATATAAATATACTTGATTATCTATACATAGATATATAATCAGGATTAAGGCCTCACATACGAAACATATCTTTGTTTTTGTCTTTTGGACCATAATATACCTTACTCTGTACTTGGGGGCTGGTGACCTCCCTCACAGAGCTGCAGTGTATCAAGATACTAGAGTGCAGCACTCTACTAGCTGGTTGTATAATCAGGGCTAGTAAAACAAGGTGGAGCTCATGGCACATATTCTGTTCTAAGTATTGGAGCTTAGAATAACCCTGGTTTAGTTGGATGCTTGTTCTAGACAGGATCCAAGAAGCTTGTGTCATGTAAATGGGGTGGTGTCGTGTTCTGCTTTTCCATAAGAAAAAAACAGTGCCATGGAATTCCTAATCCAAGATACAAGATATGCAACTTTTGGAACTCCAGATTTTATGGATTACATCTCCTCTGTTGCTTTCCGAGCAGTATGGGAGCTGTAGTCCACAACAGCTAAAGTGCAGAAGATTGCCTGTTCCTTTCCTAACATATCTTAGATTTCACATGAGCAGCAGAACAGGTATACAGAAAGAGGGGGAGCAAGTGTTCACATTAAGAGGTCTCCAATCCTTGGTAAATTATAACATAATCAAAGTCTTTGTACTTTAATCCATCTTCCCATCAGGGATTTGCTTAGCTCTGGTGGTTATTGCTGGGAATTAAACCATGCGAGGATTTGTACCAGTCCGAGCAGGGTCACTTCTTTTAACCTGCTGTCCCCAATCACCATCCAGCCAGAAGCAGAATCACTTGCAATAAAGACACTTAAAAGCTTTACAAATTCTGCAAGTATTGCTGTTGACCCGAAATAAAGTATCATACAGAAAAATGAATAGGTAAACAGATGCAGTCAGTGGACATATTATATAATGGTTGCTGTAGAGAGTGCTCCAAATAGAACAACATAATTGCCTTAATAGAGGACAACTTTTAGTAATTACAAGTAGGGAATACAGAATGTAGTCCTTTGCCTTCAGCAGGCATGATTCATGGGGTATGGGACATGATTGTTTGAGCAGTGGTTCTCAAACCAGGATTTATGGTGGGTTTTTTTTTTAAATTCAAATGGAGAAACTCACAAAATCTGGACTGTTGGTGGGTCTTGAGGGCTGGTTTGAGAAACACTGGTTTTGAGTGTTACATCCGATCACTGTGGAAGGCACAGATGCTGTGGTATCTTGCTGGAGTTTGAGTTCTCACATGTCTGTATCTGTTCAAACTCACCAACAATTGATCATCTACCGGGAGTAACTTACCCAAAACTTTGTAGCAGTTTCCTTTTTCCTTTTCACAAATGTGTGAATATCTTGTGGCTTGACCTGGTCAGGACATTGGGAGCATGTAAAAAATACAGCCTGCTTACATAAAAGCCTTAGCAATGAGTGATCTTAAAATTTTTGCTTTTGTTCTTAAATTGGCAAATTTCAACATTTTACTAAGTTCAGATAATTATCTGTTCCACTACCTGTCTCAATATAAGCCTGATTGGGTCATGTCTAATTCTGTACTTCTAAAAATAAAAGTGACTTATTCATGCTTACAACAAATTACCTTCCACAGAACAGTACATGGTGTTTCATGTTTGCCTGCTGCATAATTATGTTAAAGGCTAACATATTACTCCTTACAGGAAAGAAGATTTCATGGACTTGGGAATCTCCATTTAACTATTCCAGAGAAACACTTCAAGCAAGTGCCTTGTTTGTCTTTGAAGGTTGCCCACAATCTATCAATAGAATTATTATGGGTACATACAGTACCTGCACTGCTATTAAGATTTGTAGGGTTAATTACTAAAGTGTGAACTAATGGGAATGCAATGTGAATTTAAAAAATATAGAAATATTCTCCAAGTTGGCCTTAAATTTGAAATGCATTCTGAATTAATTCACGTTAGTGAATAACCCTGTTTGTATGCTACAGCTCCGTATCTGCACACTGCCACATTGGGTTGAAGCAATAAGACAGACTGTGTAAATGTAAAGTGCAGGTTTAATTTTCACTTGAATATACAATACTGTATCCACATTTCTTGATGTTCAACATTCCATGCCATTCTAAAGATAGTGTTTTAATGCATTTTGGTGTTAGCACAGTTAAAAATCACTGCTCACACTGGGGAGACCCAGGTGTCCGATACCTGGACCCATAATTAGTACCCTTGACTGACAGGTGCGCTACATGCAGCTCTCAAAGTTAAGTCACTGCAGCTGAGCAGTTGTGTTCAGTGTGGCGATTCTTAGCCTGCTTAGCACCGATCAGCAGGGGCAGAATGTAGGAGCTGCAGCATGAGAGGGAGACCTACCTTTAATGCTGCAATATCTCAGAGCAAAGCACTCTGCACTGTGTGAGCTGGAAAATACATCTGCCTCTGTGTCAGCGGAGGGAACAGAGTTAGGGGTAAGTTTAGGGAAGGTGTGTGGTTGGTTAGTTTAAGCATAGGGTAGGGTTGGTGTTAACTTCCAAAAATAAATTTAGATCCTAGACATGAGGAATTTCCCAAGCAGTACAGATAAATTAATACATTTTAAGTCAATTTTTTTAGTTACATTTTATGTGTACAATTATAATCCAAATGGAGGGAGAGGGGGGGAGGGTGTTTTACCCCCTCCCATTGTTAACATTTTATTCATACTTAGTGTTGGGTATACACATAGGAAATTAAGAGCCATTTCTGTCCTTTAAAATACAAACTGAATTTGTTGATGCTTTTATTAATATGTATGGGAGCACTTTAAGAGAAACCCTTAAAGGACCACTATAGTGCCAGGAAAACACTCGTTTTCCTGGCACTATAGTGCCCTGAGGGTGCCCCCACCCTCAGGGACCCCCTCCCGCCCGGCTCTGGAAGGGGGAAAGGGGTTTAAACTTACCTTTTTCCAGCGCTGGGCGGAGAGCTCTCCTCCTTCTCTCCTCCTCCTCTCCGCCCCGCCGGCTGAATGCGCACGCGCGGCAAGAGCGCGCGCATTCAGCCGTCTCATAGGAAAGCATTTACAATGCTTTCCTATGGACGCTGGCGTGCTCTCACTGTGAAAATCACAGTGAGAAGCACGCAAGCGCCTCTAGTGGCTGTCAGTGAGACAGCCACTAGAGGATTAGGGGGAAGGCTTAACCCATTCATAATTATAGCAGTTTCTCTGAAACTGCTATAATTATGAAAAAATGGGTTAACCCTAGAAGGAGCTGGCACCCAGACCACTTCATTAAGCTGAAGTGGTCTGGGTGCCTAGAGTGGTCCTTTAAATTATGATGGAACAAACCATAGCACAAATTCCATGGTCCACTTTCCCAGACTTTGTAAACTGCTTCTGTCCTTAAGGAGTTAGAAAGAATAACTCTGATCAGTTTTATTTAATGTTTTAAGATACATGCATATATTGACACCAGAATTTTCAGTGAGTAGTAAAATACAAATCCTTCAACAAAATAGATTAAAGATCTTTGATATAAAAAATGTCACACTCTAAAGTAATTTTATTTTTTTTGCCAAGGTAAGTTAGGAATCACTATTATAGGGCATTTTCCTAGAAGGCACTCGAAGGCTCAGTAAGAATGTTAATGAGCTTGCTACTGCAGCAGCTTGTTCTTCAGATGAGCTGGAGCACTGCCGAATGTTACCTGCCATGCTAACCCTACTTGCCATAATGGTCAATAGGAATCCCTTTGCACTGCATTTTTAATTCAGCCTTTATGAACTAATTAAAATTTAACTCCTGGAATGTAAGGTTGATAAATAATTTGGGTATTAAAGAATATAAATTGCTGTATTTGTTATGAATGATTGATGTGGAACTGTGATAAAGTTTACTAATGCAAATAAACATTCTGATTGATAGGATTAATTCTGCAAGCCTGTTTATTATAAGTGCATCTTCTAGAGAAAATAGGATGACATGTTAAACAAGGAAAGTTCATCTACATGTATTGTACAAGTTATTGTGCTGGTACAGTTGCATCCAATCATATACTTTATTCCTCTAGTTCTGAGCTACCATAGAACCATAACTCCCATGCTGCTTTGCAAACTAACTTGGGAGCTATAGTTCTACTTTATACCACCACTGCTCTAGGGCTTCTGCACCAATGTAAAAAGTACAACTGTGCCTGATACCATGACACGCTACTAAACAAAATGCATTTATTATACATATAACCTGATTATACATATAACCTGAACCATCCTTGGCACTACTCATCATTTATAAAGTAGCCCAAGTATTGTATAATCAGAAAATGCAGTGCACAAAACATTTGGGATGCTATGGTTTGCAATCATTGCTATACACAGACACATTCCCACACAACCAAGAACATTTGGATGCAGGCATCTATACTGGGCAAAATATTTCTTTTCCTTTGTTTTCCGATGCCATGTAAATCACTGCAGAGAATCAGTCAAGCTGAAATTCACCGTGGACCTGGTACCGTGCGTTGAGCAATAGCCAACTTCAACAGTTCTTCAACTGGCAGCTTTAGCATATTGCATGACCATAAAGCTTGCCACTGAAGAACTGCTGCTAGCAAGCCATATAGAGGAGAGGCAGGATAAACTGTTATGGAAGAAAAGTACAGGTTTAGAAAATGAAGGCACGCCAACTGTAAAAACATACTGGCACAATATGCAAGAAAACTTTTAGTTTAGAATTAAGTAATGAAAGCAGATAGCCAGATACACCTGGAAAATAGAGGGGAAAAATCCATTGTTTTAAATGAAACATGCTAACATATATTTAGATGAATTTACATATTAAAAAGATTTAGCAAATTGATTGTGGAGGTGGCCATATTGGAATTGCATCACAGTTATCAACCCTTCTTGGACTGTTAAGAACATGTGACCGCAAAATATACATTCTGATTTTCAGAGCAGCTCCCAGCATTTTAGTTTCAGGTTTCTGATTATGCCTGATTAAGACATTGGTGATTATTTTCACTGACACATTTTGAATGATTAACATAAGTGATTTTACAAAGTTAAAATATTTCCGAGATGCACATTGACTATGTTGGAATTACCTACATCTTTTTATTATTGGTATTTATATAGCGCCAGCTTATTCTGCAGTGCTTTACAATAAAGGGGGAATATAACAAATGAGACAATAACAAAATTTAACAGGAACAATAGGTAGTTGAGGACCCTGATCAAACGAGCTTGCAGTCGAGAGGAGGTGGGGTATAAAAACACAATATGAAGGATATTGAGGGAGACGGCAAATAGACATGGTGGGAAAGTAGCAGAACTGGAGGTGAGTGGAGTGTGGCCCTTTAAGAGAGCAAGAGTAAGGTTTGAAAGATAGAAGTTACTCTTGGAGGCCATAAGCAATCCTGAAAAGATGGGTTTTGAGGGACTTCTTAAAGGACTGAAGACTAAGGGAGAGTGACAAGGGAGGCTGTTCCAAAGGAAAGGAGCCACCGAGAGAAGTCTTGCAGGCGTGAATTTGCAGTAAGGGTACGAGCAGCAGACAGGAGAAGGTCACAAGTAGAGCGGAGAGACCGGAAGGGGGCATACCTGTGAATCCGTGAAGAAATGTAAGGGGCGAGAGTTGGTCAGAGCTTTATAGGCAAGGGTTAGTATTTTAAATTGACACCTGTAGGGGACAGGAAGCCAGTGTAATGATCGACTGAGGGGTGAGGAGCGTCAGGAGAGAAAGATCCGCCTGGCAGCAGCATTCACCACAGTCTTTTGGTGAAGCCTGCAAATGACTTGACCAAGGCCGAGATTCTGTTGTGGGGTCTTTACAAAATAAGCAAAGCACGCCAAAGGAAAGAGTCACTATACGTTAAATATCCCCCTAATGAATCTAATATTTACGGCAACCAGTACGTTTTCCCGACATAGTATGCTTCCTGCTGTAGTCATCTTCTGGTTCGGCTTAAAGAACTTTTTACAGAAGGGTAGTAAATGATACAATATAACCATACATTACAGGGACACTTCTTCAGACCTCTAAAACCACTTCTGCTTGTTGATGTGCATGTCTTCCATTTTACAATTCTCATTGAGCTGCATTGGGACATCTAAAATTGGACAGGGGTAGAAGGGGAGGGGCTTGCAAAGGCTGTAGACTAGAGCTGCAGCTTTTGCAAACCGTTTTTAAATATAACCCAATTACATTTTTAATGTATACTAGTTTTCATTGTGGTTATATCTACTAAATAGTGATTGTGTGCACTGTTTTTGTATTTGGGCATTGGAACATCCCAGTGTGATGTCCAAGCCCACTTCCATAAGAGTATTGGCTGCAAATGGGACGGGTTGTTTCATTTGTAGGGTGTGGGTATGCAACCTTCGCCACTCCAGATGTTGTGGACTACATTTCCCATAATGCTAGCAAAGCATCAGGGAAGACAGCGCTACGGAATCTGATGGCGCTATATAATAATAATAATAATAATAATAATAATAATAATAATGTAGCCCACAACATCTGGAGTGCCAATCGGTGGCTACCGCTGCTCTAGAGGATCTGAAATTAAATATTATGAAGGTGTGCCAAATTATGCATACAATAAGGTAAACACTGAGTGGAATTTTGCAGGCTGCAATATAAGAAAATGGCCAAAATTCAACTTATCTTATCGAGCAGGAACAAAAAAAAAAAAAGTTATATTGAACGGTCGTTCATATGTTGTTCTAATGACATTCAACCTCAAGTTATATAAATAATTCACAGAAAAGCAAATAGATCTCACCTGTGAAGGTCTCTTTTGCACTGCCCCATACATAAACCAGGTACAGAAAAATTGATCAGGATTCCCATATAAAAACTTCATTTCATCCTACAACAAAAACAAATTAACATTTTGAGCACACACACATACATATATATATATAGCAGTTTACAGTGTCGTTTGTTCACTTAACATTAAATTAATGCAAGTAGTTTACCATTTACTTAATTTAAGTATTCAGTGCTCTTATGCAGAGCACCTTATAATTTAGCAATAACAGCCAAGGGTAAATGATAATGCCATCATATTCGAGACAGAAACGTCTTACAGGCTCTGCTAGTAACCAGCTGCCATTCACATAAACACGTAACTGAAGCTTCCATAAAATGCAATTTAAAGGGACAGGTCATGTGACATCAGCTGCTGCAAGTGATTATTATGTTTGTAGAGGTGAGAGTCGCCCTCCATGTCACAGACGCAACTAATTTGCCATTAGCTATACTAATTCTACAAAACATTGATTTTCATCTGGCTGTCTTCTGTGGATTATTTTCACTGCTGAACATTAATCTTTATAGGGCACCGCATAAAGATTAATAGTCTGTGCCTTATTATCCTAATGGCATATCCATAAACAGACTTTATGAAACTGTTTGAACCAACTGTGTTTCACACCTCTCCAGTTCAATAGGTCTTGATTGAAAATAAAGAAATGGGATACACATGGCATGCAGCTTAAGCATTGGAAAGTGAACATTGGATAGTAATAAAGATGGCATCTCATAACAAACAGCATACTCATTCTCTTAGTTATTAATGTGTTTGTGAAAATATCCAGCAAAAGTAACAGTGGCAACAAACTGGGAGGAAGGGAACCTCTTTAAATCAGTGAAATGAGAGTTGGGAAATAACCAATGCAATATATGTTAAGGAAGTATTTTTTTTTTAAAAAGGAGTAAGAGGAGAATAAAAACCACCTAATCTCTTCCAAACCCCATTTATAACAAATTATTATAATCTGAACATCACTAGATAACCATTTACAGCGATATATGGAGCATTCATTTAATACTATAAGGGCCACTTGGCATCAGGCAAACTAGAAACCATTCTCCTCATACATTCGCTATCCTTAGAAAATGCTTGTATTTTCAAAAATCAGATGCAGTTATCAAGGATTGCCTCGATAGAGATCTCAGTGAAAGGCACCCAGACCACTTCAGCTTAATGAAGTGGTCTGGGTGCCAGGTCCTTCTAGGGTTAACCCATTTTTTTTTTTATAAACATAGCAGTTTCAGAGAAACTGCTGTGTTTATGAATGGGTTAAGCCTTCCCCCTAATCCTCTAGTGGCTGTCTCATTGACAGCCACTAGAGGCGCTTGCGTGCTTCTCACTGTGATTTTCACAGTGAGTGCACGCCAGCGTCCACAGGAAAGCATTGTGAATGCTTTCCTATGCGACCGGCTGAATGCGCGCGCAGCTCTTGCCGCGCGTGCGCATTCAGCCCAGGAGGAGGAACGGGGGAGGATCGGAGAAGGAGAGCTCTCCGCCCAGCGCTGGAAAAAGGTAAGTTTTTAACCCTTTCCCCCTTCCAGAGCCGGGCAGGAGAGGGACCCTGAGGGTGGGGGCACCCTCAGGGCACTATTGTGGTCTTTTAAGGCAGATGCTATTGTGCTTGAGCTAATCTGGACCATTAAAGTAGTCTGTTTTAGGGCCTCCAACATCACGTGTCTGAGTTACACAAATAAAGCACAGCAGGAAGTGTACCACAGGAGTTACTCAGAGCAGGTCTTAACAGAATGTAGGCCACAGTATTTATCAAGAAAGCCTAAAAATGGCCACTAAGCACTATTGTAACTTTGCAGAATTTCAAATGTCACGGTGCATGGAGCACCCTGTAGCTACTCTACTCAGAGTGGCTTAGATCTGTAGTGATAAATATAGCTGCAGTTTACCCAGTTCCTCAGACCTGTAAATTTGGCAATCAGAATGCTCAGTTCTTGGTGCCGGATATCAGTTTTACCAAGGTTGTTTGTGTGGCCATCCTACAGGCTTAGCTTTCAATCCCACATTCCTTCAGCCAATGCCACTCACACTTGCTCAAGAAATACAGGAGTGGAGTCACTCTGTTCTGTCACCAATACGCTGCCAGTCAAACCGACATGTTGGTGTAATGGAGGCAGCTTTTTCAATTTGGGGACATGTCCTCAAGCAGGGTCAATGGCTTTACAGAGCAAGGTGGGACTGAAGGGCGTGTGTAAAAATAGTTTAACACCCACAATCCTCCAAGATTGGCAGGGCTGAAACGCTGGACAAAGGAGGTATGTAACAGCCCCTAAAGCAGTAAAAATATTGTAAATTTATTACTGGTATTTATAAAGTGCCAACATATTCCGCAGCGCTGGAAATATGATAAATGTAGGCGCTACATTGAACCTAGAATGATGGGTTCACTTTAAAAGTTACTAATTTTAGTTAATATGTTGGCATTTTAACACATCTATGTAGGAAATAAATACAGTGGGGGCATTTAACTCCTATACTTTGATGCGTGCCTACTGTAGCAAGTCAAGAACAGATTTGGAATGGAATGAAATGGCATACGAGTATTGTGATGAAATGAGGAAAGGAGTGTAAAGACATTATAAAAAGGAGATCGGACATATGGCAAGAAAACAGTATACTAAATAAAGTATTTAGTGAAAAGGTCTGCGGGGAGATGGGGATAATAATGGCAAGGCAGGCAAAGGCATGAAAAAGGGGCAGCATATTTAAAATGCAGGTAGCCAAATATTCAAAAGGCAGGATAAAAAGCAGAAGCCAAACTGGCAAATGGAGAGATTACATATAAAAATAAAAAAATAGATATTAATGATAATACAATATATATATATATATACACACACACACACACACACACACACACATACATACATACATACATACACACACACACACACACAATACAATAAAGGTGTGGAAAATGACAATAATTGAGAAACAATGACAGATCATAAGGAAAGGGGAGTATGGTTCAAGAGGCCAAATCTGTGTTTGGTGTGCCTGAAGAATTACTGACCAGTAGTACGATACTCTGTATCTTCAGTTGTGATTATTGCTACATTCTGAGAGTTCATTTTAATATCACTAATTCTGCTTTAATATATAAATATAGAAGTGTGAAGGCGTGCGCATGTGGCAATTACTGGAGTACTGTCAAAAAAAGAAGTGGGCTATAGCCCCAGATCTAATAGGAACCTAGCAACACTCCTGAAGGATGTCATGCTACAGATAATTTAACCCATGTTTCTGCCAATGGAGCTATTAAAATGCACACAGCACACAAGGAGAACATTGCAAAATGAACATTAGAGTGCTTTTTGACACCTTACCTTGCAAAGAATACATCTGCTAAAGTGCTGATCAAAACCCCAGACCAGATTCCCTCTTACGTGCTGTGCTCAGACAGGGTCTGGGATGCCAAACATTCCACACATGCCTAGTACTTATGAAAAATTCCAAGCAGGCTGAATGGCCCAGGCCCCTTGGTGTCGTATATACTTTGTTCTAAGCCAACAGCTCCACCTCCCTGTAATCTTTTCCAGGGCTGAACTCTCCTCCCTCCCCAACTCAACACATTTTAATGCTGGCATTGATCAGCTATGTAATGGAGAAAAGTCCTTCACACACCCTTTGGCTCCAAGAAGGGCCTGGATCCCTGAATCAACAGAAGCTTGAAGAGTATAGCCAGATACTAAAAGACAGACAATGATTCATGGTGTATTCCATCTCCCATCAATTTAAAATGAGTTTCTGCTTCCTATTTAACCTACACGTTACACAACTGGGGTATATTCCTCATGCAGCCATTGGCTGGACATATATGGCGGTCCATTGCTTAAGAGTTAGACTGAGTTGGTCACTACACTAGGATTAAGCTATTAACCCCTTTACAGACCAATGCCACAATAGATTTCACGTTTCAAAGATCTGTCTAAAACTCCATAAAAAAATAAAAATAAAAAAAAATATGAAAACAATTTTTATTAAAGTGTTACGGTTTTTGTGCTTTCTACTCTTAGATTCTTAATAGCAATCCAGATGTTTCCCATGCACATGGAGCCCGTCTGGAATTTAGATTTTGAACTAGAAAAACAGCTGAGATTTTTTTTCTTCACCCTTTTCCTCAATTCTGTGATTGCAGTTTAAAATGTGGAATTAATCATGAATTCACAATAATTCACACTAACACGTGTCAATCAGCTGTCTTCAGCATATCATTACAGATCGTTAAATAGAGTAGGCCCTGCACAACATATACTGGAAATAGCCAGCAATGCATTAAATTAGGTAGTTTTGTGTAGAATGATAGTTAACCCACTACAAGCAATATAAGTACTCCGTGCATGCCACAAACGCAAGCTAAAATTAAAAGAAATTGTGGATTTCACCCCTGACCCAGTTACTTTGCAAGGTTAACAATGCCAACGTCACGATGAGTCAGAGTCATAGGATTAGACAGGACAGATGAGCAGCTGCAATCTGCTATTTTACATCACAAATGACATTGCATGAGACCAAATTGTTTGCTTCTCCGTCATACTTGAATGTATTAAAATCCAGTGTCCTTTAAAGGGCATAACTAGGCAGTGTGCAATTGTAGCTGATTCTTTGAACTGATACAACACTGGTAACTTACAGCAATCTAGTTTTTAAAAAAAATATACATTATCCAGTTCCTGAGAAACAATTTGTCTATTGCTATGCTATTCATACTCAAACATTCTTTCCTTCTTTATCAAAAATACTGATAAAACAGCTCTCCATCTGTCCTAGAACTGCATCTCCCATGATGCTACGCCAACCTCATTACAGTTTTGTGAGAGACACCGTTCTATCAGATGTACATCTAGATCTCAGCTTTTACGACAAACCAAACAGCTTTTAAGACAAAGCTTTAAATGTTATCCTATTTTAAATATGTATTGACTGCCTTGTACATGTTGATTTCCCCCAACCTAGTATATTAGAAAATGCTTTACATGAATGATCAGGAATCAGATGGGAGCACAGTTTGGCTCCCAAGATAAGAGAACAATGCACAAAGGCCTTGTAAGAACCGCTTGGGAATTAGACAGTGGTCAGGGGTGTGCGATTTACAGAATCAGTCAGATATTTCACCAGGTAGACTTCAAATTCTGTCTTCTTCCCACTGGCCAACATTCATATCACAACTTTTGCAGTCTGGTCTGCAGCCATTTGAATACACCCATCACATTCTTACCACAGTCACATCAACAGCCAACATATAGCTTGTCCTGCAGGCCCATCAAAATGGTGGAACAGAAAATCTGAAACAGAATAAGATTTCACATATCTTCCCCAGTAGTTAATTCATTGTAACCAGTTGCTCATTTATCTGCGCCCAGTCCCCCAACCCACCCCACTGGTTTCTGATTTCTGATCATACTATACTGTTCAATGCAGTTCCTTTGGAAAGACTCCATAACTTCCATGCTTAAAGCAACAGTGAAACTTTAGAAAGTAAATTCTCCTGTATGTGTACAAACACTTCCAAAGAATGTTTTAACCCTGTGATTCTGGTGAAAGTGGAAAAGTAAGTTTAACTTCTAAACTGAGGAATTTGAGGTGAACTGAAAAAGGAACTGCAACTGAATGAATAAACCGCTAAGCATCAGACTTTCAGGAAACCTATAAGATGCAAACGTCTTTACATTTTTGTCATGCAATCTTCATGTCAGTATGCTATTCAGATGCAGCAGTAGTAAAAAAAAATAAAAAAAAAAAAATTAAAAAAAATTTTTTATTATTTTTTTTAAATTCCACAGGTGGAGCAATTAGGCTTCCTGTGTTCGTTGTAATGGGGTGGGCTCCAGCTGCTGAGGAGGTCTATTTTTTCTATTGACAAAATAAATAAAACTGTATCGGTCACATTTAAGGTGCAATGGGGATCCCTAGTGCACACACAATATACATTATATTATTTATATATACACACATACATACATACATACATACATACATATATATATACACATACATAAAAAAATCATATGGCAATCCAAGACTGACCATTACCAGTACCAGTCAAGTCCAGTAAAAATACGCTAACCTCCTTGTCTTTTATGACCCAACGTAACCATCCTTGCAAATAAGCAACTCCCCTATGCAGTGGCAGAGGTCTGCAACACATTGCTAAGGAATGTGTAAGACTTCCTGTAGAATTCACTTTGTTACATTCAGTTACAAAACTGGAGGAGATCGAGTTACAATGTGAAAATTCCTTGGATCTTAGGAGGCTTGCTTGTTAAAGAGACACTTCCAGACTTGGATGGATACCTGTCCTCTCCATTTTTAATGCATCATGCAGAAAAAAAATAAAAAATATGAGCCTATGTATTTTCTCCTCTGCAGGCCATTGTATTGGATAAGGCTCACATAGGCAGCAATAGGACAGTGGATGAACAATTTCAATCAGTGTCCTCCAAAATGTAAGCTCTTAATGTGGAGCATTTGTGCATACTATATTGCAATTCGATTTCACTAGTCAGTTTTAGCACTTTCTTGCTAGTGAATTTTGCATTATTGAAAATAAATAATAAAAAATCTGCAGATAACTCCCATCATGCAATACAAGCAACATAATATTTACTAGTGTTCTCTCCAGGTGCCAAGAGGCAAAAATATACATTTACCACTCATTAAAACAAAAAAACCTGTCCCACAACACCACCTGTAGGAAAGAGCAGAGGTGTACTTCACTAGTAAGGCTAGGCGCCTACTGCCACATGTAACCGCGCAGCTCAGGAGAACAGAACACTAAATAGGGCACAAACGCCCTTTTCCAGCCAATAGTCTATAGTATGCCACACTCATATTCTCGGAGCGGCCCTACTAGCATACATCTCTCGCGTCTCTTAACAAATCTTAACTGGTCTTATGGCCTTGTGGCAGGGGCCCCCAAATCCACGAACCTGAGCATAGACGAAGTCAAACTCCACTACTGGGGACACACACCTCGCACACACAGGTCAAAGACCACACACACACACACGCTGGAACACCCATGCGAGATACCCACGGTTACTACACCCATGGACACCGCAGCACACCAGCCAGACATCTCTCTTGTGTTACTTTATGCTGGAGCCTAGATGCATGTTCAAAATCTAAGAACTAATAACCAAAATGTGCAAACACTCAAGCTAATATGTACGTATCTGCATTTGTATACGCTGTTGTAGCAAACTGGCGAAATGATGTACCTACCCGCACACCGAAAAATAGAATTTAAAAAAAACAAAAAAAAAGTCAATTTTTAATCAACATGTAGATCAATCCTTGTAAGGTGACATTTATTTTTAATGTAATTAAAGTGAACTTTAGGTAGTAGAGCATTGTACAGCGCTACGGAGTCTGATTGCACTATATAAATAATAATAATAGAAGGCAATTTAAAACATTAAAGAATAGTTAAAATGGTACATGGTACACAGGCCGAATCTTCTAGAGTAATTAATTTTTTTACATCTTGCTTGCTCACCTTGCGGGTTTTTAGCAGGACAAAGTATAGCAATGTAAAATTTCAACAGAATACTTTTCACTAATACAGCATAGAGAATAGTAACAACACTAAATCAAAGTGAAGTATTCACTAAATATCAGACTGCTAAATTTAGGCTTAAGATGCCAAACTGTGACAAATCAGAGTTATGCTTAGAGAGAATTCTTCAAACCCAAAGCAATGTTTCTTAGATAAGCAAATAAGTTTTCAATATACGTTTCAATGAACAATCGTCAAATCCATATCAAAATATAGACTATTTTTTTAGCCAGAAAAGCAGGGAAACCATTAGAAAAATAAAAAATTGCTGAGACAGATAGACTGCTGCAATCCGGGGCTAGGTGTGGAGCAATAACAGCGTCTCATCATTTGTTAAACTATTTTTCTTCTATCACAGTTCTCCTAAATGCATTTAAATCCCCCCCATGGCAATTCCCTAGCTGCACCCAAAAAGCACACATTGCACTGTGTGTGCAATAATGTACACACATCTAAACACCTTTTTTCCTGATCAGCAGAGATTAGGTTTTAGATGGCACATGGGTAACACCTGCAGATGTCAGCTTGAAATCGCCTGCAAGGTCTAAATACTGCCAAAACTGTACAGCAACCACTTTCAAACTAGCGTTTCCAGAAATACCCAAGAGACTGAGCTGCGGGAATGTTACGGAGTGACGATAGGGACATAAGTTGGCCCTGCTGCATTAAATTAAGTCTTATGCCATATCTGTGGGGAAATGCATGCTCTCTGAGCTGAGCTGCTAAGGAATCAGTAATGTCAATGAATGGATGTATAGAGCTAAGCAAATGTACGCACTGCAGAATTGAAGGAAAAAAAAAAAACCTCAGTATGCACAACCCAGGTGGGTATTGCAAGAAGATACATAAAACACTAGAAATATTCTCTTTCTGGAATACTAGCAATCATTCCATGTCTGTCTGTGTAAACAGCATTTTCCACTGCTTCTTTAACCTCTTACAGTTCATGCTGCCATAATAGTCTGGTTTGTAAAGATCCTATCACAAAAACAGAAAACCACTTTTGTTTAGCAATGGATGGACTCTTTAGAGCCGCTGATTGTCAATAAATAGAGAATATTCTGTTGGCGCAGAGTCTTAGAGTGTCATTATGATGGCATGCCATGAAGATGTTAAAATCCAGATGAAACGTGGAGTAGTGTGGTGACCTATGGCCAAGTCATGCTTCATCTCACCTGACACAGATTGCTTTTGAAACACAGGACAGAGTGCACCGCATTGTCAGCTTAAATGTTTTTTTGCAAGAATAAACATCTTACCAACACTCCTGGGGTTTTGAGCAATAGTAGAGGCCCACTTTATATTAACATATTGCTCTACAGCAGATGTGGTCAAAAAGGTAGACATCACCTGTTGTAAACCAGACCCACATGACACCTTGCAAGCCTTAAAGCTTACGCCAGGCACCATAACTTCTACAGATCATTGTGAAAGTTATGGTGCAGGGAGTATCCCGAATTCTCACAGCAGCTAGAAAGCCTGTCCTAGCAAGAGGGGAATTTTTTTTTTTTTTTTTTTTACTTTTTTCTTTCCCGTCTGTGAACGGGTAAACTTAAGTGTGGTTATCATTTATATAGTGCCAACATATTTTTCAGCACTTTACAATGTTATAAAGTGGGAAATTTAACATTAGATGACACCGTTACAACATGTTACGGGACCAATAAGTCAATGCAGACCCTGTTCGAAGGTCTTACAGTCTAAAATATAGAGCAGTTACACTCATCGTATGTAATGAGAGAGACTGCAGCTTTGGGATAGACAAAATACACTAAGCTTCTGCTGGAGAGATATTTATGGAATAAAACTAGAATGAGAGGCTACGGATGGAGACATTTTCCTAATCAAGATGCATATAGCATTTGCCTATGTGTACATTAGAGTATTAGGATTTTTAAACTTGTGATTTGTTTTCCTATAATAAGCCGATAGCTGTTCAAATTCTTAATTTAGCATCTCACTCTTTATGTACAATAGGAAAAGGAAAAAAATAAATAAAAATCACCTACCCTCATTGGTGGTGGGGAGAGGGGCGCAGGAGTAGGTGATATGCAGATGAATGGAGGAGCAAAACACCGGTTAGAAAAGAAAATTTATGTTAAAATAGCAGAACCGTTGTGAGTTTTTCCAATTTGGCTTCTATGACTAAATCACTACTCTGTATAGAACTACTGTAACGGGTAGGAAATTAGCTGTAGATGTATAAAAACAAAGTTTAAATTAAAGTTGCAATTAGTGATTCTCTTGTGGAAATAAATACTGTGATAAAAACGTGACGACCACTATGTATGTAACTATGCCTCCTTCGTGTAATTAAAACTGATGAGGTCACTCAATTCTAATCCTGGCACTGAAGGGACACTAGAGTCACCAAAACAACTTTAGCTTAATGAAGTAATTTTTGTGCATAGATAATGCCCCTGCAGTTTCAGCGCTCAGTTCTCGGAGATTTACTTTTTAGGTTTTCACTTTATGCAGCCCTAGTCACACCTTCATTGGCTGTGACTGACACATCCTGTCTGGATAAAATTGGTCTAATTTTCAATCAGAAGTGAACTTGCTTCAGAAGATTTGTCTTTTCTTCTCTGTAAATTGAACTTTAATCTCACACACACGAGAGTCCACCAAGGCCTAGCCATATTAGTCTATAACCAGTGCAGGAGATAAGAAATTAAACCAAATTTGCAATAAAGCAAGTGTAAACATTAGAGGACTCCTTACAGGAAGGGGTTAGGAATGTTGTGTAAGCCACATGCAGGGAGGAGTAACTAGTGCTGTAAAAACATTGATCTAAATCCTAAACAGCAGAGAATTGAACCTGAAGGGGAACGATCTACACACCAAACTGCTTTATTGAGCTAAAACGGTGTTAGTGACTATAGTGTCTCTAAGTAAAAGGTTTTAAGTCAACACAAACTTAGAAGCAGTTAGAATGGGAAGGAAGGTGTGGTGTCAGAAAGAATTTTCAGGATAATGAGGTGTCACATTGCGGAACAAGCTTTTTGAAAAAGTTAAAAACATTTAAAAAAAAAAAAAAAAGTGTTGCTGGTCACTGTTAGGTCATAATATTGTAAAATGCTGCAAAATTATTTGGCACTATACAAATGCCCAAAATAATAATATTAATCTCACTTAACCCTTCAAAGATCCCATCATTTAAAGAGTTATGCATTCAGGGTGCACTTAGGATTTGTCCCCCAAAAATAATTTGTTTCAAACTGCTTTACATTCATTCATTGATAGATAAAAAAAAATTAAAAAATTATTTATTTAACATTTTGCTACATCATAGCATTAAATATGAACTGATCTCTGGCATTTCCCAGCATGCTTGTTTCCTTTTAAGGATTCACAAAACTGCTCCCTGATACATGGCAGATTATGTACAAAGAGAGATTATAATAAAATGTCTTAAGAGTGAACCAATCACCATGGAAACCAATATAATGCTTCTGCTGATTGACCCACTTTTAGAACGTAGGCCCAGAACACCCATGCACACTCCCATGGTACTCAAGTTAAAAGTGCATATGAGAAACCAGACTACGTCACCACCGACGGAAATCAAAGAAAATGGAAATGCGTATATCATACTGCACACTGACATGTATGAAGACTTCCCTTCAAAGTTATTCTATTGTTTTATATTAAACGCTTGCACTTTTACACTGAATACCCTTAGAAAGGAGATCTACATAATACGTTGATTTTATTCTGCATTTCAAAAGCCATATTCCTTTAACATTTTATATAGTACAAGGTATGCAATTTGGGCTAAGTTTCCCAAAATAAATTTAAAGTAAAACATTTTTAAATAGGGATTTTTCCAAAATGTATACCAGAAGAAAAGGCCCGATGTCCAGATGTTGGTACCATATGATTCTCATCTCATTTGTAATGTAGAAAGATTATACGGTGTTAATGAGGAATCTGACACTCACCAAATAGAGTTCCACTTAAACAAATTCAAGAAACAAACGGAGTAGGTATATTGAAAACAGGGCAGTGCTATAAAACAATTGGACATTACTGGAAACTGACAAGGGCATTTTCTGGCAAAACAAGAAATACTTTTTTTTTTTTTTTTTAAATCATAAAATCCAACTCTCATAAATTCCCTTCTTGGATATCCTACTATTCCTTTGTCAATTCTCAACAATTCGTAACTTACTGAATATATCCATATTTACGTGGATGTTTACCAATGCCCTGCAGGTTAACGGTGACTTCATCACAATCAAGACAAATAGGTAAAATACCACGCCAACAATTGGGAAAATTTCAAGATCTGCAAACATTGCTTGAAACAACTGTATATTTAAACTCCTAATTGCTTTTTGAAAGCATTCTAAAAATTGTCTTTACCTGGCAGGCCTCAGGCACGACATCCATGCGGATGTAGCCATGCTCTGAAAAGACCTGCTGGGCCTCACAGGCCGCATATTCATGCTAAAGGAGAATTCCCGCACCACCACAACGCAAATCACTCAATTGCAACAGGAGCTGCATACGCTCCAAAAGCAACATTCCACTTTTGAGCAGAGGTATGCAGCTATGGAGGACTCCAGACGCCGCAATAACCTCAAGATTAGAGGCGTGAGAGAGGCCGTTCCGGATGCGGAATTACCACACTTCAAACGCCTCCTATGTGCAATCCTAACTCCCTGACAAGCCAAGTCGGTGGCAATAGACGGAATGTTTCAGATCCCCAGACCGGTCCGGGCCCCTATCACAGCCCCAAGGGACTTGATCGTTCGCTTCCAGGCTGGACAGGGCCGCGGTCCTAGGCTCTCTCAGGGGACAGACGCCTTACCACTTTGAGAACTCTCTTCTCACTTTCTATGCGGATCTCTCGGGGAGCACCTTAGCATGGTGGAAAACGATGCAGCCCTTCACCACGTTCCTGCGAGTGCAGGGTATCCCATACAGATGGAAAATGGCCCACACGCTGATCGTCACGCAGAACAATGCCTCCTACCCAGTCCACGACAGAGGAGAAGCAGACGCGATGCTGGTGAAGTTGGGCCTCCCAGAGGACTCACTCACAAACAGGCAAACGCATGTGGCGGCCCAACCCCACACTTGGGACCGAGCTGGCACAGCCCCATTTGTACCCAGGAGGCCCCCAGCGGACACCAACGCGGCGGACACCACTTGAACTCCCATTGCAGGTCTACAGTTCTAGACAGTTCATACTATACTTACTATTAACTGGCTTGTGTTGAAGCCTCACTGAACGTTGTTCTATATTCCCTAAAGTTTATACCAAGATTATTAATTTAGTTTATGTTCTTTGTTCAGCTAATATGTACACACTTGTAACCTGCACCTCACCACCAGACTGCTCACTCACACAGCCACCACCACGGAGGCGATAGGGCAGGGGATGCGGGCACAGAGTTCGGCCACATGTACACTACCCCCTGCCCTCCACCAGAGGGACACGATTTATACATCAAGGGCATCGCTCTCACAGGACAGGGAATAACTGGCCATATATTAATAATCCAATGAACGGGCTCCCAGACCCCAGAATGCCCTGCCCCACACTTTAGCCACACCATAACTACACATTAGACCTCCAACCAACAGCTCTTGCCAGGCCTCCCCCCTCTCCCCCATCAGTCAGGACCGAGGGAACAAAATGCCACTGCTTCGACTCATGTAACCTGTCATAGGTCTTACCTCCAACATGTAAGTGACAATGCGCTTCAAAAATAAAGAATTTAAAAACAAAAACAAAAAAATGCTGGCCTATGCGACAAAACAAGTATGCATGAATTTTTTAATTATTTTATTTTGCATTGTTTATAACAGATTGTTCTAATGGAGTTCTACGTACTGTGGTTATGTGTATTCTTTCCCCCTTGAGCATAGGAGCACAATTGAGTACAGACATGATTGCGCCAGATTCCAAAAGTTACAACACCCAATGATGAAACTGCAGTACAGTTGAGTAAGCTATTGAGGCGTTCATTACCCACTCCTGCACTGATCACCAAAATTCCATATCTGTGTCTAATTAAAGCCTGGACATTCCACCGCAATGCAATTCCCAGATGGGAAAATTCTATGAATCTGCTTTAGATAACCAGGGCTGCCCAATTTACATCCACAAAGATTCTTGGAGTTTGGTGCAAAACTATATTGAGAGCTGCATGTCTAAAAATAAGCAAACTCAAGGTCTATGGAAAACACTGATATACAATGAACACATATACAGTACCCACTGAGCCTGGGAAAGCAAATAATCTCTGCTCCTCAGCACTCTCCAGGGCATGACCCAGAGCACTGACTTGGTGTCTATCACCCCCAGTGTTGAGATGTGTTACAGCAGGTTGCATAAGCGTGAATCAGAGCTTCTCAACGCAAAGGAAGCAAACAGGATCTATAGACCAGTGAGAGAAGGCTAGCAGCATATGGAAGGAAAAGTGCTGCCATAGGAGGGTCAGCTTTAGTCTTACATAAAAGGATTATGGAGATATATTGGGGAACTAGCAGAAGACAAAACTAAAAGGAATGGGTGACGTGATTTGACAAACATTGGACAAAGATAGTAAGAGGAAGAAAATGATTTTAAGCTAATATGGAACACAACTCACAACAATCTCAGTCAGGGTTACCTTTCACTCATGACAGAGTGGAATGCCAACTCACAGGAGAGCAGGATAAGATATTGAAAGGGAGTTAGAATAGACAGATTACATGGGAATTCCATTGGTCAAATAAAGCAGATAAATGCGTGGATTTTAACTGCTGTGTGCTACAACTCCTATCAATCATAGCTGCTAAAAAAAAAAAAAAAAAGTGTAATTCCGTAAAATAGGCTAGAAGTTGAAAAAACGGAGGGCATCCAATGGAAGAACTAGCGGGAGGGCGAAGAACTGAGTTAGTAGAAAGCAGTGGGGGAGGTGGTGATAGGTTAGCCGGGATAGTGAACAAGTAGTACTTACCGTTCGCAGGGCCTGGGCAGTTTAGCTCCCGAGTCCGGTTAC